CCAAATAAAGCTAATTTAGTTTCTTTATATAAAAGTGCTGGATTTTTTCAATTTAGAGAAATAACTATGTAACTGTTTAAAGACAACGTTCTTCAAGTTTTATTCATCACAAAGTTTATAATTTATACACGAAAATTAATAAAGTAATCAAAACTATAAAAAAAAGTTGATTTCCTTGTGGACAAAACAAGTGCAACTCCACAAAATGTTGACCAAGCTGTATTTCGCTATCAAAATTTCGTGGCGAATCCTTTGTTGTCGATCACAGCCTTGCATCTTCGAGGCATAAATTCGATCAGGTGATCAATGAAACTTTGTGGAATTGCTTCCCAGGCCTTTTGGATTTGTTCAAACAGTTGATCCTTATTACGAACACTTTCACAATTAATTCTGCAGTTGACGATCTCCCTCAGGTTCTCGATAGGGTTGAGATCCGGAGATTGAGGCGGCCAATCCATCACCGATGGGTGGTTGTCTTGAAACCACTGCTTGATTACTTTGGTAGTGTGTTTCGGATCATTGTTTTGCTGAAAAACCCATTTTATTGGCATACTCCATTCAGCACGAGGTAACATAACATCTTTCAGGATATTTTTATACATGAAATGGTCCATTATTCCATCGATTCGATGTATTGGAACTAGACCGTTAGCAGAAAAGCACCCCCAGACCATTACATTGCCTCCACCATGCTTCATGGTCTTATGGCAGTAACGTAAATCTAGGCATTTTCCAGCCTAGACTTACGTTACCCTTTTCCAGTACACGGCAAATGCCATCGCTCCAAATGATGTTGAACTTCAATTCATCACTGAACAGGTCAGTTCGCCATTTCTGCACATTCCAGTCAATATGAGATGTAGCAAACAGGAATCTTTTCTTCTGGTTCTTTAGTGAAATCGGGGGTTTCTTTGCAGGGCGTTCTGAAAACTATCCGGCTTCAACAGCACGTCGTCTGATTGTTCAGTCCGATACAAGCAGCTCTAATTGCTTTTGTATCTCGACTGATGATATCCAGGGATCCTTCTTGACAGATCTGACGATCATAGAATTCTCTCTAGAAGTGGTGGAACGCGGTCTTCCACCTTTGTTATCTGCTGCCAATTTCCCCGTAGAACGATATTTGGAGCATAGTCTTTGATACGGTCCATTTTTTTCACGCAATATTTATCATAAATACTTTTTTGTGACATTCCACTTACATAATCGCCAATAATTTTCTTTCTTAGTTCCAATCCAAGACTGTCGGGGGCCATTTTTGCACTTGAAGTCATAAAAATAATAAAAATAAATAATCACGCTTCTCAAGGCTTACCGTGTTACATTTACCTTGTGATGATACAATAATGCCCTGTAGAACAAGTCTTGGTTGGATGTGGACTGTATTGATGTAATGAAACACTTGTTGTATTTCAATTCTTGTATTGATGTTCTTCGATAAAAGACTTTGATAAAACTCACTTTGATAAACTGTCTTGATAATAGTGACTGATTAACTTCCATATGCTGACTGAATTACATGTCGATTTACATGTCTCTTATATAGTAAAATGAACCTGTGTGAACCTGTTCTGAAAGATTCTAGATGCTTCTTTTCTATGCTTCTGGAAGCTTCTGGATGCGTCTGGATGCTTCTGAATGTTTCTGGATACTTCTGGATGCTTCCAGATGCTTCTTCTGGAAACTTTTGGAAGCTTCTGCATACTTCTGGAAACTTCTGAATACTTCCTTTAGTTATTAAAAAACTTCTGTGACATTGACACAGACCAGACTAAAGAAAATGAAACAAACCAAAAAAGTTGCACTTGTTTTGTCTGCTGCAAAAAATGGTACTTGTCAACAAAATTCTGCCTGTGTGCTGTCACCTGTCAGCTGATTGCTCATGTCATGGCATGCTATGGCATACTATGACTCCAGACTCCTGAACTGTTTGCTGTGGTAGTATAGTTTGTTTAGTTTTTAAGACATGTAAAATTACAAACGCTTTTTAGCATTGTTCAATTTTGGTTGCAAATGTTTTGTCCAATACTGTATTTCAAGCACTATGAGAAACTAAGTCGTTATTTAATAAAGCAATAAAAATTAAAGGTTTATATGAAATAATAACAAAAAATTTTGTTAAGGGTTTACTTAAAGATGGTAGAGTTTTTGATGCATCAGTTTTAAATGGAAGAGGTCCAGCAAGCTTTCAAATTGGTTCTGGCCACGTTGTGAAAGGTAAGCTTAGTTTTTATGTAATCTCTCTTTATTTTTCTATTGTTTTTAGTTATTGTTTAATAATTTTGCTAATTTATTAAATCAAGTTGTTAAATTGTTGTTTTTTTTTTTATTTTGATGAATTCCAGGCTGGGAAAGAGGTATGATTGGAATGTGTATTGGGTAAAAAAGTTTTTATAGTTTTAATATAGTTATATATAAATATAGATCAAGTTTATCAATTATAAAGAGAATAGTTTAACAATTATTTATAATTTATGATAATTTATCTTGAAGTTTTATAAATTAAAATCAATTTTTTAATATTTTAAATTGTTAAAATAAAAATGCAATTAGGGGTTGTCTATAAATTACTACACACAGATTTTGACCCCTTTCTTGCCCCCCATCCTTCATCAAATCATTGTAACACTTTAGGAACAAGTCCTGTATTACTTGGCACAAAACCACTACCCCCACCAAGGCCTATTCTAGGAAAAAAATTTGGGCGGCATTACCCCTTCGTTCTGGTGAATTTTAGCTAAAAATCAGGGGTTTTTTCACAAAAATAACAATATTTATCGTAAAAAAAAAAACATTTAAAAAAAAAAAGCTCCTTAAATTTTAATTTTAATTTAAATTTTAGAGCGTGATGTAATTTATGGATGACCACTTAGATCACAATATATTTTTCACGTTTGAAATGTGTGTAAAGATGGTATCACATTAAAAATTAATTTTTGCATTGATATGAGTTGATAATGCTTCATTGTTTGATAACTATGATTGAGCATTGATCTCATTTCATTTGCATTTCCTCCATTGCAGCTTGCGTTGAGCATGAACATTTCTTGCATTGCAGCTTGTATTGTGTATGAGCATTTCTTGCATTGCAGCTTGCATTGAGTATGAATATTTATTGCAGCTGCTTTATTTTTTCAAGGTTTGTGTGCAGTTGTTGGAATTAGAGAGGGTTTAAACAATCTTTTTTTTTTTTAATTTTAGAAAAAAAAATGTAAAAACTAAATGTATTATAATAAAGAACCACACCTGTTAGATAAATTATATTTTTTGCCTTTTAGGGAGAAAAGAAAATTAATAATACCACCACACTTAGGATATGGTAGTCAAGGATTTGATGATGTCATACCAGGTAATTTCATATTTTATGTTTTCAGTTATTTTATGAAATATCAGTTTTATGCTAAAAGTTCAGACTTCAATATACAAGTCTTCTGTCAACTATTTTCTTTTTAACCAATTTGATCTCTCAACTTGAATAGTGGTTGCCTGCAGTCTTGTCAGGAGTGAGAGAAAAATGGTTCAAATAAAAAGCTTTATTTGATTTCTATCAATGGCTTAGCAAATAGAAAAGTTTGTTTAAGAAAAACATGGTTTATAGAAAAGTTTGTTTAAGAAAAACTTCATATACGGTAGTGGTGTAGTGGTATATGTGGCAGTGGTGTAGTGGTATATGTGGTAGTGGTGTAGTGGTAGAGCGCTTGCCTCATAAGCAAGAAGTTTTGAGTTTGATCCTTACCATGTTTCTGGTAGTACCACACTTAACTTGTTTCTCCACACAGTGGGCTTGTTTGTCAATGTTTGTGTTTTGGAGTTATAGAGTTGAGAGAGGGTTGTAACCACAACTAAAGTAGCCACCTCGACTGTCTTTTTTTGTATTTATGTTGTTCTTTATGATATATTATTATTAAAGTATGTTTTTTTAACAATTTATAATAATATTTGCTTTATATTGTACTTTTTTTTTGTATTTTCTTTTAAGTGTAATTTTTGTTGGTTAGCATTGAATGTTTTTTTCTTTGTTGTTGTTTTTTATTTTGTTGTTGTTTGTTTATTTTTTAACTTTTTTTAGTGATTTTCACTGCTTTATCTTTGTTCTCTTGTTTTCTTTTATAATGCATTTATTGCAGTTAACATTATTACTACAATTAGTGATTATTAGCAACAATTGGTGTTAGATTTTTGTTTGACACCATTCTCATGTTAGTGAGGGAGGATCATCATTGGCTATTATTACTTTTATGAACCTATCACTTTTATTAGCCTATCAACTTCTGTTTGAGTTACATCATTTCAAACAGTTATTTTTTCATTAACCTAATTGTTAATATTACTATTGTTATTTTTATTGTTATTTTTGTTATTGTTGTTGTTGTCATTTAATGTTATTATTATTGTTGTTATTTTTGTTGTTATTGTTGTTGTTATTATTATTATTGTTGTTGTTGTCATTATTTTTATTGTTAATATCTTTAATATTATTTACATTTTTTTGACATGAGACTAAAGAAAAATCAATAAAACCTTGAGAACTGAACAATAAAAATAAAACTTTATTTTTAAGATTTTTTTTTTTGAAAAAATATTTAATCAAGCAAAAATTAATGTTGTTCTTATGCAGGATATTAACAAACACCTGTCAATTCAACTCACATAACATAAGTTGCATATGCATTAGTACACTTATATGCATATGCATTGATTGTTAACTTATCTCAAAAAGTAGATATGAGTTTAGCTTGTTTGAATGCTTAAAGTTAATAGCATCTTAGACATTGCAATGGTATATAAATAGCATCTTAGACATTGTAATGGTATATAAATAGCATCTTAGACATTGCAATGGTATATAAAGAGCATCTTAGACATAGCAAACTTTATGAATAGCAGGTGGGAAGAAATAAAAATGATGGCGACAAAGGAACTTTTGGTCCTGAATGTTATCTTTATGATCTTCAGGTGTCAAATTATAATAAGCAAAAAAATAAAAAAAAAATGTAAAATGAAAATAAAATATAAAATCTATAATGAAAGTGTAAAACTAATTGAAACCACAATTTCTTAGTAAAATTTAAAAATTGAAAGTAGGTTTCACACAAAACCAGGTAAATGAGATCAAAAAGTTGAAATTTTGTGAATCTTTTCTGTGATGTTACAGACATGAACAAATTGTCTCAAAGGGGTTAAAAACTACTTGAATTTAAAAATCACAATCGTTAGATAAGTTTTACAACAAAAAGAAGTTTATAAACATATAATATATATCAATCATGGCAATTCTGCCAAAGAAGCTTTTGAGCAACCTACAATGATCCTGATTATACACTTTTGCAATTTTTTTGAGGCAAAAAAATTGCAAAAGTGTATAATCAGTACTCTAAAATAAAAAATATGTTTTTATATATAACTTATATTTAGCATGCAATTTTTTGCAAATTTTTCTTTTAAAGTAAGTTTATTTCAAACTTATGTCATTTTTTTATTTCATTATTTATTATGGTACTCCAAGAAAGTTTAACGGTCTTACCACAAAGCACCACAAAAAAACATTTAACCAGGAAGTTCATGCCTCTTTTCTAACCAATGTCACTTATTTGATGTCACTTATCAATGTCACTTATCTGATGTCACTAATCAATGTCACTTATCGGATGTCACTTATCAATGTCACTTATCTGATGTCACTTATCAATGTCACTTATCTGATGTCACTTATCTGATGTCACTTATCAATGTCACTTATCTGATGTCACTTATCTGATGTCACTTATCTGATGTCACTTATCAATGTCACTTATCTGATGTCACTTATCTGACCTCTTCTTATTTTTGAATACATCTGTTTCAATTTAGGAAATATTTACAGGTGGTTTAAACATTAATTTAGAGTAAACACCTTAACGATATAAAGTAAACACCTCAATCAATTAATTAACAAGTTAAATTACGATTGTTTAAGCAATAAAAATTAACAAAAATGTAATAATAATGACTACAAAAATAATAGCAAAAGACTAGTAACAATAATAAAAAAAATATGATAAAAATAATGAATTTATTAGCATTAATTATAAGCTTATAAATTTTAAAAAGCTTTTTATAAATTGCTACAATTTAATAAAATTTCAGACTAAAAATAATAAGAATAAAAAAAAGGTTTTGGTGTAAATGATTTAAAAGCTGAATTATTTCACATAATTTAACATAAATTATTTCACATAATTTAACATAATTTCACATAATTTAACTAGATTGAATAAAAAGTAGATAACGTTAGGTTAGAATAAAAGCGTTCCAAATAGATAATAAATAGTTGAAAACTTTTTTTTTGTTTTTTTTGTTGTTTTTTTTTTTGAGATAATCTTAATATGACTTAAATTGTTATCATATTTGATAAGGACATTTGAAGTGTGACCCAAATATAGCAAAATGGTAGATATGGATTTGTATAAAATTTTAACAAATTGATTTATATAAGAGATTAAGGTCAATTTTAAATCAATTTTAAATACTTTATGGAGGTAACAGTGTTAATTTTGTGTTAAGTCTCAAATTTAGCTTTTTATCAATTTGTTATGGAGATCATGGTTTATGTACAGTGGACGGCCAAATTATTAGTTACACTTGCAAAAAATATATTAACCATTAGAAGCTCTTTTACATATTCTTATGTTAAATTTATATATAAATATAACTGCTACTAGCTTAAATAAATATTTTTCTTTAAAAAGTAAAACACTTACTTAAACACTGTTACTATTTTTAAGCATTTATTTAAGAAAACTCATAATACAAAATGTTTTTTAGTATTTCATTGGGTCACACCTTCAGAGGATGTTTTACCGTCTTGATAACACGGTCTAGGTTATATTTCTCTTCTTTTCTTTGTCTAACAAAACAAGAATTATCCATTATTATTTCAAATTGGGACTCATCTGTGAAACACACCTGAAACAATTAAAAATATAAAAACTCATTTAAATGTTTTAATCAGTAATGCTGTTGCAATAAACAGTTAAATAAGTATTTACTCACATTTTCCCAATCTTCAGCAGATATACATTGGTGTTGTTTAGCCTAAGTGAAGCGTTTTAATTTTATTGCTGACATAAATTCAGGTTTCCTCGCAGATCTGCAGCATTTAAACCCCAGTTCTGCTAATCAACCCCTTGTAGTTTTGTTAGAAATCTTGATTCTGGTTTCTTGTATGATTTTAGTAACTGCTTTTATACTTTTTCTTTAGTTTTCAACACAAATGTTGTTTTCAACACAAATGAATTGTCTGTTCATCTCTTGGGATAGTGATATGTGCCCTCTCACATTTTCCAATTCTGACACTTAGTACAGGTATTTTCTTAATCAAGTTTACCTTCGATTCTGTTTACTGTCATCACAGAAACATTACCTAAATTTGCAATTTTTCTTTGGGAGTGATTTAAATGTTTTAATAAAGCAGATATTACTGAAATATTTTTGTTCGATATATCTTTAGTTATTTCCCTT